GAATTGAATTCACTAACAGACTTTCTTATCCCCTGCTCAGAAAGGCAAGTGCCAAGCAACAGAAAAAGATCTTTCCAGGTCTCCCTGCATTCCTGACATCAGTAAAAAGACCCCAGGCTAACTCCAGCCACTGAATGATTCGCTGTTGAATTACAAGATGGGCAGAGCCATACTTCAAATAAAAAGATTCCTTTGGTATGAATGTTCATATTTTAACTAACTTATTAACCTAATTATATGCCAAAATTGTATCAAAAGATTTCATCTTTTAAACTGATGCATTCATAAACCCATTTATCTCTTCAAATTACATGTCTGCTCTTCATTCTACAGTTTTATACAATGCTCTATCTGAAAAGCAGGGCTAGTCTTTGCTGCCTTTCAACTCCACAGGTTTTGTTTTCTCATAGAAGAAATAAAATTATTCTGTTTAAAGAACTTCTGACAGGATAGGAAAATACGCGATGTGTCCAAAAGCCCCCAATCCCAAGAAATCTAAGCAAGCTAAGTTGGGGGAAATGTAAAAAGCAGTAATTATCGTATCTCAAACTGCAAGAAAAATAAATGCCTCAAATACTATTATTCATTTAAGTTTCTGACAATCTGACGTTCATCTCCTTTTAGTATGACATTATAGAAATGTTTCTTATTTTGTTCATTTTACAGAGACCAAGAACTTTTAATTCTAACAAGCTGCATGTTCCAGAGTTCATCTTTCTCTTTGAAAAAAAAAAAACAGTTTGCAAAAGCAAAAAGTATTATATTGATTACAAACCAAAGTGAGTTACAGTGAATGATGCAAAGGAGATTTAACAAAGATGTCTGCCACTTGATCGTAGTACTTCTCTACTCTTGAGGTGTTGCTCTGAACACAGCACCAACGCTAAAAAAAATCCATCCCTACATTGGTAGCTAGTTTCTTCGATAATATTCAATTCAAATCCAACAGTAATTAAAACACTTAATTTGTATGAGCACTGTTCCAAGATTAACTAAAGAGCTTAGGGGGGCTGGAAACAAGGAGATCAATTAGGAACCTACTAAAATATTCAGAGTGGGGTGGAAGGAAAGCAGAGTAGATACACATTAGGATGAGAGGATTAATACAACCCAGAGAGATTACTCAGAAAAGTTGGGACAAATATTCCAAAATCTGAAAATTGAGGCAACGGAAAAACCAGTAACCAGGAGGATTAATGGCAGAGGCAGTTGTGAAGTGGGAAAGAATCTTCTTCCCAAACTGCTGAGTTTGAGGTATCTGCACAGGGAACTGCGGACAGCACTGGGAGGTGTGTCAGAGGCAGAGACGTTATTTGGGGACACGTTTCAAAACCTTATACTCAGAACCGGATGACGCTATCTCTGTGGATTCTGAAGCGTTTGACACAGTCGGGACAAAGGGTCCGACAGCTCACAAAGCTTCCCAGAGAACAGATGGAGGCCAGGGAGGCTCAACCCTGACAGGGCCAACACCAAGAGCTCCATTTTCTTCTGGCACGGCAAGCCTAAATAACTTTTTCTCATTAAGCTTATTTTTTCATCCAAGGAAAAATGAACATGTGTTCACATTATAATAATTTGCAAAATTCAAAATTAATGAAAAAATAAGCCTTGGAATCTTAAATCAACAGAACAGAGCAACAGCAAATAAATGAAGCCCCCAAGGGCTTCTGTCACACTCATATATAATAAAAATACCAGTCATGTTTATAGTTCAATTCCATAGGACTAAATTAATGAGCAGTTTTGGAAAATTCTGGAAATTTAATAATAGTCATTTGTATATTACAGTTTTTGCACTTTATTAATGATTAGGCAAGAAAATCATTAACTACATCTTCAAAATGGTAAAAGTAAGGCACAGGAGGCTGGAATTCACATGTGCATTCCTTTTAATAAGATACAATTCTACTCTTTAAGTAGCAAATACAACTGAATGTACAATGAACCCACTTGAGTTATCTGCTATTATTTGCCTCTAGACTTTTGCTCATGTCATAAAAAGATATTTATATTTCTATTCTGTAAACAAGGCCTTTTAAGAATGAAATAAAAGCTAATGATGAAGATGATGATGAAGATGATGATGATGATGATGATGATGATGATGATGATGATTATAACAGCGGCAGTAACCAGCAAAGTATTAACCCTATGCTAGTCTCCGGACCAGAGACTCCTCCCTCACTGTTTCTCTGATCGTCACAGTACTTTCATGAATTTGGTATCTCAAGAGGTTCACTGAGCAGATGGAAACTTAATAAAGGCCAGAGAAGTTAAGAAGCTCAACTAGTTAATTGTCTCCTTGGCTACAGTGATACCTCCCAAGGGCCTGGAAAGCATCCTTTCCCTATCATGTATTTATGTATTTGAGAGAAAGACCAAATAAATATTATATTTAAAGTAAGGAGAAGATAGACTGAATCCTTTGGTTATAACTCTGAATCCAGTACCCCATAGATACCAGAAACTCAGGGACCAGGGCAGAGCTTCCAGAGGAGCCCCTGGGTACCCAGCACTGCGGCCACACCAGGACAGAGGGGTTGTGTCCCCGACCGCAGCTTGTGCAGGAAAGTCCCGGCGAGGAGTCTGTGTGGCTGTTGTTTAGATAGACATTCACTTCAAGGGCCTGGGCCAATGGGACCATCACTCACGCCTCAAAGCTGTATCTGAAAAGATGACTGTAATAAGGGGAGGGATTGCTGTCTAAACTCAGCTCTGACTTTAGGATGTGCAAGCGTCTCAAAAGTCAGGCAGAGAGGTGTGGGAAGCGTCATGAATAAGCGGACTGACAAGGGAACTGGTGAGGGCGGTTTTCCCTGAAATCCACACTTCCCAGGAAGGACCTTTAAAGAGGGCCTGTTCTGCACGTGGATGCTCAAGACCAGGACAGAGTTGGCCAACATGAGAACGGGAAATAAACCTGACCAAAGTTGGGTCAATTGGAGTTAAGGCGTAATGGGTCAGGGAACGTGGGGGGCGTGCTTCTGGCCATGTTAAGGAGTATGTAAGGGCTTCTCAGCCAGGCTTGTCCAAGTAACACGGAAAAGGGTGTCTCAGCCAGGCGCGGGGGAGCACAAGGTGCAATCCCCGCAGTTCGGGAGGGTGAGGCAGGAGGACTGCGGGAGCCCAGCCTTGGCAACTTCATTCCTGCCCCAGAATGTTAAAAAGTGGCTGAAGATGTAGCTCAATGTGAAGGCCCGGGTTAAATCCCCCGCAAAACAGAACGAGGGAGAGAGAGGTGCGGGGAGCTCTTTACAAGCCTCTTCCAGAACACAAAAGGTGGAGAATTTCTTCATCAATACTATCTTCCAAGACTGCTCAACTCGGGCAAACAAACATTATCATAAAATATTTTATATTATTTTTCAGCATTTTAATATATATTTTCACTGTATATGTTATATATTTATATAGACTTTAGTGTTTTGTATATAATACTGGGACATACATCTTTCAGTATTTTGAAGGACAGAATTGGTAAAATCATATACAAACAATCACCTTTACATTTGCTCCTATGAAAATAAACAAATACAAGGAATCAAAAGAAAATCTGTCATTAATCTGTGGGGTGACAAGGGGAGTAATTTTAACTACTCGAGGATTCTAGAATATATTTATTTTTTTAGTTCTTCTTTGAATGCATGTTCAGTGTGTCTTAGTTACTTTTCTCATCGCTGAGACACCCAAAATGAAAGGAGGAAATGTTTATTTGGGCTCACAGTTCGTAGAGGTTTCAATCTACCATCAGCTGGATCTAAAGCAGAGTGGTACGGCAGAGGGGTGTCACAGAAGAGAAACCGCTGAGGGCAGAAGACAGCAAAAGAAGCAAGCAAGCAACAGCAGCAGCTTCTTTCTGTCCATTTCACATTCTATCCAGGCTACCTTAGGCTGCGTATCACTCACACCCAGGGTGGGATTCCGTCATCCTATCCAGAACTGTGCCAAACCAATCAGTGGACTCAGTCTGTAACCACACCCCCTTGATCCCAGCACCACACTCTCTAGATCCAGCACCTCTGAAACAGCCCCACCTATGACCACACGAGGCATTGAGGGGGCATCTGCATACAGGTCATCACACAATGGTTAAAAAGTTTGTATTTATAATCTAAAATATGATAAAGGCCACAAAAATGGCTGGTGCACGAAATGAAGGCAAGTAAGATAATTATGAAATTGTTCACTCATTTCTTTTTACTATCAGTTCTTTTCTCTGAAGACAGATGCAGGGAAGAAATTTGTGTGTCAATGGATTTCTAGTAGTGATAGATTTCTGCTAAATGCTCTTTGATACCATTATTGTTTGCTATGGGCAGTAAATGTACATGCATCAGCTTTTGTGAGGCATCCTACAAACCATATTATACAGTAATTGCTATAGATCTACATACAGCCCATTGACAGCAGCATCATTGTTATAAAGTTTCATATAAATGTTTACATTCTTGATCTACTGATCAGAATCACGTAATCCTAATTTTCCAGTAGGGAGATTTCATCTGAAAGTTGTACATATACATATACATACACATATATACATATATATACATACATACATGTATATATGTTGGCCTGGCACACGGCCATGAAATGCTATTGTCTTAAGAATCAAGCAGCAGCTTGATTTAATTTAAGATTCTCATCTTAAAGGGCAGGAAACTCATGGTTTGAGTGAATGATCAGTATAGAACCTATAACAGTTTTACTCTAACTTCTCTATTTGGGAGAACACTGTTTAGTAGCTTGGTCTGATTTCAGTTTTATGTGCTTACTGTAGAAAGCAGAAAGTTTATAGCATACAGAACATGCAGATTATCTGTTAGGTAATAAAGGGAAAAGTGACCTTCATGGAAAAGACAATACCAGTGAAAAAAATAACAAACAATAATAACAATTAGAGCAACAATAAAAACTACAGCACCGACACTAACTCCTTACAAAGTGCTAGGATGAGCTGCTTATTTCACTATAAATTTAATCCTTCCAATATACAGGTCTCACGATTTCCACTTACAGATGAAGAAATAAGACAGACAGTTAAAAGTCACACAGTCACCAAGAGGGGATCCAGGAAGAGACCCTCGGACATCTGAATGCAGAGCAAAGTAGGCCCCTGCAGAACAACTGGATTAAGTGACTCGGGTCCTGTCCTGGTCAATATATTAGAGAAGAAACCTAGCCAATAAATTCAACGGTGAAAGAGTCAAGCAAATGAGAAAGTACCTCATTTACTGAAAACGTATTGGGCTTTGATAGGATTCTGAAACCTTCAAACTAGTTATCTAACCACAGTCATCTATTTCTCAGCACCTCTTCTGGCAAAGCAGTGGTCTCATTCATAAAAATAGCAGCATGGATCTGGCAAAAGTTTGGGAAGTATTATGATAAAGGTGATGGCGACAGTAATGGGGTAGACAGCAGCAGCGAAAAGGACACTGCTGAAGCCACCACCAGGCATAAGGCTGCACCACAGTCTTTCCCTACGCCACTTCATGTTCCCTCATTTCTAGTGAAAAATGTTTTACATACAAAAAAGCAACCCACTTTTTGCATAAAATAATGAAGAAACAAATGAAACAGTAGAGTATGTTGTAGGTATAAGTATTCATATAAGTTGCCCAAAATTCCCAGTGACACAGAAGGTATAATCGCACCGCATATCCACTCCAAGCCACCTTCATGGGGTACCTTATGGAAGTGAAATGCAATGTAATGACTGCTTTGGGAGAGACAGACGGGGCCCATAAAAGACACTGTATTAATTATATTGTTTTCCATGGAACTTTTCTAAGGTTGCCCCGGACAGCGAGACTGTAGAACATTCATGATGAAACTGTCAGAGAGGACTAGACTTGAGGGACCTTTGGGAGAAAAGAGATTTAAAAAGAATGCCCTGCCTGCTCGTGGTTCAGACATGCCTGTCTCTGAAAGTATGACCACATTATTGATTCTCCAAGGAAGGAAGGAAATATGACTTTGTCCCTTAACTGACACCAAAGTTACAGGCTATGTAATACTGCCCAAAAGTGTTTGCAAATATTTTTATTCCGATACAGAGTTTTGAGTGTCCTCGAAAAGGACTGTATGCCCCTGATTCGAGATGCAGTGGTCAACTGGCAAGGAAAACATCCAAGCAGTGGGGCACAGCTGGCTAGGGAGGGTCTGGAGGGTAAGGAAATGTTTGCAATGGACAAGTCCCTAGAATTAAAGACCTTGAGAGGCTGAAAACTGAGGAATCTAGATTGTTCACCTTTCCATACACAGACCCCAAACTATGGTGACAAATTGTAGTGAGACCACAGAGAAAATAAAGTCTACCTCTGGTATGAAGACATGCTCACTTCAAAGAACAATCTCTCTGATTGTTTATGTGTCTAAGACATTACTGATTCATATAAAGAAGCAGAGTAACGGAGACCTAGCAGAGTCTGGGCACCTGCTACCTAGCAGTCTTCCTCCAACGCCTCGCTCTGCAAACTATGCTACCAACTCTTATTTGGAACTGGAAAAAAAAAAGGTTCAATTCCTCATGTACAAGGGTGCAACAAATATTTACAGAATATGTATAATGACAGAGTATACAAACAAAAACTAAAAAGTAAGGGATTCAGAGAGAGAATTTCCAACAAGAAGTTTTATTTCAATTTTTTTTTAATTATAAAGGAGGAAAACGTCAAATCGTGGCAGGTGCTATTTATTTATTTAGAAAAGTATATCTCAATCACACAATACAGGATCACAAAGAGAGCTGAACTGTTCATACAAAGCATATATTTCCCGTGCACTACAAACAAACGTAAGTCCTTGAACAATTTCCCACCACTGCCTAACATCAAACATTAATCAATCGGTTTAGGATCCATCAACAAATTTGGGATAGCTCCAAAATGGCCTGAAAGGTTAGGCAAAGAAAACATGTGTACCGTCAGATTTTCCACTGATGACTAAAAATCTATAGGTCAGAGAGGGGCAGGCTCTGATGTCTCCTGCATTAATTATTGAAAGTCATATCCCAGATGCTAGCAAATCCTAACAACTACACATACATACCCTTTTGTGCTTCAGAGAAGAGATTTTGAGAAAGAAAATGAAAACACTGTCCTTATCCAAAAAGATGTCTTATAATGAGCAGCTCCTCATAAATAAATTGAGATTTAATTATACATTTTGGGTCAGTTTGCCATAGGAGATGAGAATTCAGCTTTCTCGTGTGGCATACTTCCTATCCTTGTTAGCCATCAGCTAATTTTTCTGTGTAATCGTCCCTGGTTACCTAGTTAGTGCTGAAGAGCCTATGATAAATATATCATCCACAACTAGTACTAATGACAGGATATCATCTCCAACCTAGTTTTGTTTTTTAAATTTGCTGCAAAAACTTTCAAGCTTGTATAGAAGTAGACCAGAAACTAATCTCGATGTAGCTACCACCTTGAGAAAACAAGCACTTCATGTCTTCGCTCACTATTCTAACCCACTCCTCCATCCCCTATTATTTGAAAGCATATCATGGATAGCATATAATTTCGGGTTACATATTTTTTATATATCACTCTAAAAAGAAAAATTTTCAAAATTAGGCCTCTAGAGAACCCTAGAAAGTTAACAAATTAACAAGACGAAGTACCTTAACAAAACTGAAAATTAACAATAATAAAAATGAATGATATTAAATGTAAATTAAGTGTTCAGATTTCTCGTTACCTTATAAATTTTTGAATTACAATGAAGATTTTAAAAATCATTACTACTGCCAGTAATTTCTTTACGCTACTGAAATTTCTCAACATGAACTTAGTTTTAATTAAAACTACTGCCCTATTGCTGTTCCTGAGAGAGAACACGAATTGCCACTATGGATCGGCCATTTTTCAGCAACTTTCAGAATCCCTGAATTAGATGGAGTCAAATAATTTCTAGCCAAATAACCCTCTCTCGAGAAAAATGGTTCATTATAAACATGGAATGTAGGATAAATAAGAGTTAGTATGTGCTAATATTTTTTGGCTGAATCCTCCTAGTGATGTCTGGAGATTTGGGGAATTGACCAGAGGCATCCAGTGTTTAAGAGGTGGAGAAGAGACCAAGCAAGGACAGCGGACCTCACACTGCCCTGCCATGGCTCTCCCAGTACCAGCATTTGACGTCACAGATGTAAACACTTCTGAAGCAAGGAAGAGCAGACTGAGCACGGCACAGAAATTACTTAAGACAGAGTGAGAAACTACTCTGGTTGGCCTCTGAAATTGCACAGTTGCCATCCCTTTTAAAGTTTAATTACTGCTCAGAGTCAGAAACATTAACTGCGGAAGTTACTTTCCACACAAGGGAAACCAAGAGTTGACAGATCCTATGTTCTGCTTTAAGACACCTGGAAGGCTTACCACTGATGTTACATTCTTTCAGGATCGTTTGAAGAATACAGAGATCTTAGGTGCAGCAATTAATAAATACAGCTCCATATACCTCTACAGACAGAATGTAATCTATCTTGAACTTGCCTCTATTACTCGATGCTTGGGGCTTCCTGTGGTGCCTGGCTATCTCACACTTGCCAATGTAGAGAAAGAAGCCTATCATAAATGCAAAACACTTCATCATCGCATTTGATAGCAAAACAGTCTCAAGTTGAGCTCATTCCCTGACAAGTCACCGAAAATGAAGTCTTTAGTGCCAAGTTATTTATACAGCAATCTTTCCTCCTAATGCCATCTCCCCTTTCCTGCTATCTCAGAGATAAAACCAGGTGACAAAGTTCAAGTTCATTACTCAGAGACTCTGTTTTGCAGCCAAAGCAAATAGATTTTAGATGAGCCAGCTAAGAGTCAGTTTAAAATGCCAAGAAGTAGAGGTTCTTTATTCAACTACTCACAAGACTGTGAAGCCAACCTTCCGTGATGCCAATGAAAATGTTCTGAGAAGGCAGGCAAGGCTGGGGGGAAAATCCCAACAAGGGGCCACTGGAGCTGCTTAAAGTATAGACAAAAGAAAGATTCTTCTGACTTAACTATGAAACTTTGTAAAATGATTAGAAAACCAGAGCAGGGCTTCTTGCTAAGCAGCCTCTTGATTCCTATGACCTAGGACATATCTGGGTTGCTCAGTCCATGATAAATGTACTGAGTTCCTGTTATTTTCCCAGCAGAGCTCTAGGCACAGTCACATTGCAAAGGCCTGGCTGCAGAAGTTTTAAACCTGTGTCATGTTTGCTATGCTTTATTGTTTAGCTTTGATTCTGCAGCTTAAGAGTACTCATAACAAGGTTTTAATATACTTTCCCTTGTCTCTGATTCCAAGTAATCCTTTATTTATTCCACTGACATCCATTACAGGGCTGTTCAGAAGCAACTTTCAAGAAGGGGCAGAACACCTACAAGCTGGCAGGGTTGCTAGAGTAGGGTCCTGGAGGTCTAGACTTTAATTCTGTGCTTAATTCGGTGGATCATGGGAAGGAATCCTGGGTGAAAGGCCAGGAGAACTAGCATGGTAGGATTGAAGTCAGAGCAATATATATGTACAACAGGAATACTATTTCAGTAATCAGTGTGACTAATCAATCTTTATGACTAAGTAGAACTGCCCAAGGCCTGTGCTGTCTATACAGATAAACAAGTTCAAGCCCTTCACTTAGGCAAATCACTTGCTAAAAATGATGTGCTATAGGCTATATAACAGGTAAAATGGAAAAGACAGGTTATCTCACTTATTAAACGTTTTTGTTAAAGACATGATTTCAGTTCTCAAGCTCCTAGAGTGTTTTTTAAATTGACTTTCTCTAATACAATTTTACTCTTCCATAGATGACTATTTTTTGTTGATCACGAATACCTACTAATATTTAACTCTCACATGTAAGGTCAGCAGGTCCAAAGATTTAAAGAAAGACCAGGTGTCTAATAGCTAGAAATAAAATCAAGATAGGAACATGGTGCCAACTTTTATATAACACACAGACCCACAGAGATTTTCCTCAATCACTTGAATGACTACAAATGAACAAAATCTACTCCCCCTTTGCTCATCACTCTTCAGCTTTAATTCATACATCGTAAGTTCCTGACTTACGGACATTACAGTTGTGAACTTTGATTGGGTGTACTGTATAAGAATTACAGTTACACTGTGTAAGACTCACTTGGTTGAACAAATCCCGCTTGGGAACTTTCTCCCAGAAC